CCACATTTCAGATGAGGGACTTGGGCCCAGGGCAGTAACAGCAAAACCGAGATGGAACCCCAGGCCACCTGACCTCACGCTCACACTGAGACCATCCTCTGCTGCCTCGGAGAAGTTAAAATGGGGTGCAGCGGGGTGCAGCGTGGCTTTGGTGACCTGTGTTGGGTAGGGGCGTGGCCTCCTGGCTGCAGGATGGGGTTGACATCACCCTCTCAGTGCTCACCTGCTCTGCCCCCTCCTGGCAGATGAAGTTCTCGCTGGAGAAGCTACACCAAGGGATCACAGTCTCGGACCCGCCCTTTGACACCCAGCCACAGCCACGGTCTGATGACAGCTTCTCCTGAGGGCATCCGGCCACACAGCTATCCCCTCAAATGGACAGAAGGACACAAAGAGCCCCGGTGGCCACTGCTGGCACGGTGTGAGCGCCGGGAACCTCCCGCCTGCCCCTCCCAGTGGCCCTGCCGAGGGCCATGCAGACGTGGGGACCACAGAGCAAGATGCACTTTAGACCAGCGTGTGCAAGCCCGACCGCCATCGCCTGCCCGGCCGGGGAGCTGGTCTGGCCTTTGGCGGCCCCGCACTAACTTATTTTGCCTGGCTGGGGTTATGGGGGTACCCCCTGGGGTGCACGATTTCCTCAGCTCTGGGTTTAATGTATTATATTTATTTGGGGCTGACAGAGTTCCAATAAAGGGTTGGAAGTGGCTGTGCCTGTGCCTGGAGGGTCCCAGAACGGGTGGGGGCTTCCCGTCGCACTCGGATCCCACTGTGGTGGGGAGGCCATATCTGTCCATTTCCTGGGGCAGCAGGTGCTAAAGTCATCGGGGATCCCCCCTCTCCAGCAGCTTCCACCAGCTCTGCATCATCCAAGTCCAGAGAGGGCACCAAGGATAGACTCATCCCCGTGTCTGGGCTCAACTACTGCCTCTTAGAAGTCCTGTCCCCTGGAGCAGGTCAATGACTTTGGACATGTTTCCTCTTTGTAAAATGGGCATAATAACAGCACCTTTCTCTTAGGATTGTTAGAAGTTATCGGATCTCAGATTTAACCACAGGGGAATCTCCTGGAGAGCTGCTACAGAATACTGGTTTCGGACTCAGTGGGTCCCGGCAGGCCTGAGCTGCGGTGCCAACACACTCCCAAGGTGAGGCTGACAGTGGTCCTGCAGGGACCACACCTTGAGAACCGCTATTATGAGAACCCAAGGAGTTAATCCATGTTATTACAGGCCCCGGCACAGAGTAAGTGTTCAATGAACGTTATGCTTATTGCAGAAAAGTTGAGAGGAAAAAAGGAATACCAAATATGCACCATGCTCTGTGCTGAGATTGGATGTTCATTTTACTCTCACAGTGACTCCTTGAGGTAGAGGCAAATAAAGATTTATAGTGTCTGAGGCCACCTGGCAGGGAGATAGACTCCACGCCTGGTCTCTAGAATCCCCATATTTACATGCCAGGTTCTAACCTCCTTTAGGATCCCCCAGCAGCCCACCCAGGTGGAGGTTGTTTGGACACCTGTTTTATAGCTAGGAAAATGGACTTAGAGGTACAGTCTCCTGTGCAGTTAGAACCAGATCCACCTCATCAGACCCTGTTCTGGTTTCAGACTGAGGAAGCCCTTGAGAGATCTTTGGCATGCCCTTGCAGAATTGGGGATTAAACCCAGGGCCTTGCACATGCTAAGCAAGCACTCTACCACTGAGCTACATCCCCAACTCCAAGAATCATCTTAATCAAAAACTTGGGGCAGGAGACTGGAGGAGGGATTGGATAGAAGCAAGGTGATTCGCAAGTTGCAAAGGGCGGTCAGCCCTTTCTGTCTTCTAGTGCTATAATTACGGCCAGTCAGCCACTCTGTACCTCAGTTTCCGACACCTGTAAACACCTTGTAGGAAGAATTAATAGGAAAGTGCTGAGGTCAGCGTCGAGCCCATAGCAGATGAACAACAGCTTACAAGGCTTTTAGGAGATGCCCATGTCCTTTGATAAGGACTGTCCTTACTGTGCCTCCACCTACCATCCCCCACAGAGGAAGGGCCTAGGGAACAGCAGGAGGGTTATTTTCTGCTGGGGAATTTCACAGCTCAGGGGAGACTGGCGTAAAAGCCCAGACCACAAAGGTGTCGGGTATCCCTGGCTCCCTGCCCCTCTGCCCTGGACCTGCCCCATACCATGCTTCCTCTTTCCCCTGCAAGGCTGGACCAGGGGAATTCTGGGACTTTGCCCCAATGGGAACTGGAAGGTAGGACCTGGGAAGCCACCTGTCACCAAGAGTCTCACTCCCACCATGACCCAGAACCCCACCCCTGTCCTCTCTGTTTGGCAAAACTACTAGTAGCACAAGCTACCCATCCTAATAGCCCAGGATGCCCATCATTGCTAGGGCAGCATTCCAGGTCCACTTTAGGCCAGCTGTATGGTGACCCTGGGCAAGGGAGTGAAGCTTCCCCAGCCTCAGTTTCCTCATTTTGTAAATGGGGGTGATAGAACTTGCTGCAAAAGTTTGGGGAGGCAAAAGTGGGTTCAGTGAATCCGAAGGATTAAATAAGCACTGGTGTTTATTCTTGTGACAGATAATGAGTACCTACAATGTACAGTTCAAAGTGCTGAAGATGGTCCTCACTCTGGGGAATCTTCTATTACAGGGTTGGGGGGACAGACAGCGAACAGATCAACTGTATAAAAGAGCATAGGTAGAGACACTGAGGAGAAAAAAGAGTAAAGAAGGTCAAGTAGAGAGACATTTACCTTGAATAAGACACAGAAGACTTGAGAAGCTTCAGGAGGTGAGGGACTGAGCCCTTTAATCACCTGGGGAGAGTGTTCTGTCCAGGCAGAGGGAAGAACTAGGGCAAGGCAGGAAGGAGCTCTGCTGTGCTGGGGTGAGAGGGGACCTGGATTGCCGAATGGAGTGGGAGGAGAGAGGGGTAGATGACGTCAGAGACTTAAAGAGAGGGGCGAGGGATCATGAGAATGGCCCTCCAAAAAACAAAACAAAACAAAAAAACAAAAGGGCACCTCCAAACCCCCAAGACTCTTTTCCGTGTTGGACTCCAGGGTGCCCTTCCAGTATATTATTTGTAGCCCTACCCTGAACTCTGCCCTCATGTCCACTTGGGTCCCTCCATGGTGACCTGCAGGCCTGGATATCAGGGACCTCAGGGCCAGGTCACTTGGATGATCCAGCCACAACCCCCTTGAACTCATGAGGATGACCTCCATCCATATTTTGGAGAGCCCGTCCGTTCCCCAAACTGCTCGCTAAGTCCTCTTGTGTGTCCGGAGGTGACCTTTCTCAGACTCGGAAGATGAGGGATCCCCGGAGTCGGGCGGGGTCGCAGACACACAGACCACCGTCCCCGCGCCCAGAAGCTGCGGTCCCTGCGCCACCGGAGAGGCCAGCGCAGCGGGCGCCTCCCGGGCCGCTGCGGCAAAGGCTGGGCGGCCGCGCCCTCCCCCCGCGGTGATTCATCCCGCCCCCTCCCTCTCCCTCTCCTCCCTCCTCCCTCCCCGGGCCGCCGCCGCCGCCGCCGCCGCTGCAGTGCGCAGGAGACCGCTGTCCGCGCCCCAGCGCGCCCGAGTCGGAGCCGGGCCGGGGTCGGTGCACCTGGCGGATGCGCCCGGCTGTGCGCGCCAGCGCAGCAGCCCGAGCAGCGGCCGCCGCTCGCGCGGCGGGGATGCCCGGACGCCGGGCTCCGGGGCTGGGCCCCCGGCGGTAACCGGAGCGGGGGGGCCGCGCCCCCCCTCCTCCCCCTCGCCGGTCCCAGAGCCGCAGCTGCTGCGCCCGCGCGCTCCCGGGGACATTCGAACCTCCGCCCGGGCCCGCCGCCGCTCGCCCCGCTATTAATACCGGCGGCCCGGGAGGGGGGCGCAGCGTGCGCAGCGCAGCGATGGGGACGCTGCTGGCCTTCGTGGTCGGCGCGGCACTGGGTGAGTGCGCTGGGGGCGGGCGCGGCTAGGGGCGCAGCCGGGGCACTGGCGGGATTGCGGGATTCGCGCTCGGGACGCCCGGCGGACGCTCCAGGGCCGCCCCCTGCCCATCCCCGGCCCTGCGAAGTCCGCTTCAGAAGTTGTGAGCGCGGGGAGCGGGGCCCCGGAGGGCGGTGGAAGCGCGGTGGGCGAGAGCCGGCGGGGACCCGGTTGGCACGGCCTCGCCGCTGCGGGCGCCCAGCCGGGGGCGAGGAAACGCGGAGTCAGCTGCTCCCAGAGCCCCGCAGGCTGCAATGTGACACCCACAGCCGCGGGAGGGGAAGGCGGCGCCCGGAGACTGGGACTAGAGACTGAGAGAGATGGAGACGGGAGGGAGGAGGCCAGAGACATGGAAGGACATCGAGTGCTCCTCTGGGATACTGGGGATGTGGGGCTAGAGTGGGAGACCAAGGGATGAGAGAGAGAGAGAGAAAGAGAGAGAGAGTGAGTTAAGTGTGTAAGCAAGGTAGAGAGAGAAACTTGAGAGAGGCAGAAGATGGGGAGATGAGGGAGGGAGATGGAGACAGACCAGGGAGAGAATGCGGGGTGGAATTTAAAAAGGGAGAAATATCCAAAGGTGGCCACAGAGACCTAACAGAGTGCCTCTGAGCCTACAAAGAGGAGAGGAAGTCATAAAGTCAGGACCTTCAGAGAGACCCCAAAGAGGAGCTTGGGAAACAGAGACATCAGGGGAGCAGACAAGAATCTCTGAAGATACAGAGAGGAGGAGACTCAGGGACCAGGAAAAGACCCAGACCTGAAGCTGGAGACACAGCTTTAGCTGGAGAGCACTGGGAGGCAGGAAGTGGGTGGCAGGTAAGAGGGGAAGGAGGGACCCCAAACGGCCTGGATACAGTGGAGGTGCAAGGCCCTAAGGGAGGAAAGAGCTTTTGAGAAACTAATTGATGGGGTGGAGGTCTGGAGGGGAGGAAGCCTGGGGCAGAGGGGACAGAGGGGGTGGCTCACACAGGGGCTTGTGGGAGGAGGGAGCAGAGCTGGAGTGTGGGTTCACCTCCTGAAGCCATCCCTTGTCTTAAACCATGACTGGTTTTGCACAGCAGTCGGTGGTGGAAAAGGCTCTGCCGTCTTGAACTTGAAAAGCAGCTGGAATTCTCGTCCGGCCACCTGGATGCATTGGTGCTTTGGGCAAGGGACCTTCTGAGCCAGGGGTAGTTGGGTGGCACAGGCTGAGTTACTGACCACATTGACAGAACTGTTTTCTGGACCTCCTTAGGATTCTGCACAACTACTAGAAACAAAGATGATCAGTTCTTTTACTAAACAGAGAGGTAAACTGAGGCTCAGAGCTGAGTGATTGGCCAAGGTCACACTGGGAGGGAGAGGCAGAACCTGCTTGGCACATGGGTCCGTCGATCTGTAATCACTACTGAGGGGAACCAGATGGTTTCTGAAGGCCCTGGGAGTCAGCAGCCAGTGAGCCGGGCATCGCCTAGGGTGACTGGTGCCTCTGCTCGACTTGAGCCTGCTGTCCCCACAGTGTCCTCGGCCTGGGGGGGCTGTGTGGAGGTGGACTCAGAGACTGAGGCTGTGTATGGGATGACCTTCAAAATACTGTGCATCTCGTGCAAGCGTCGAAGTGAGACCACCGCAGAGACCTTCACCGAGTGGACCTTTCGCCAGAAGGGCACTGAGGAGTTTGTTAAGGTGTGTGGGTGCCTGGGGTGGCCACGGGAGGGCTGTGTGCAGAGTTGGTGGGGCTGGCTCTGGAGGCAGGGGTTGTCTTAATAATAACAATGTGGCTAGGAGTGATGACCTGGATTCAAATTCTGGCTCCACCACTGACCAGCTGGTGCCTTTGGGCAAGTCCCTGGTCCTCTCTGAGCCTCAGTTTCCTCCTCTGTAATGATGGGGTGGCAGGGGTCTCCTGCCCATAGAGCTGTGTGAGGGATAAATGCACTTGGCATATGACTGGCATGAAATGAAGGTCCCTGGAATTATTTGGCATCAGCAAAAATGTTGTGAATAGTCATCAGCGAGAAAAAAACAGAACTTTTTTTCTTTTTCTTCTTCTTTTTTTAACATCCTTTATCCTCTGTGTTTGGAATTGCCTGTGGTGGGGGTATGTGATACCACTAGAGAACTGGGGTCCACAGAAGCTGGGATCAGGCTGCCCTGTCCCTGCCTGAAGTGCGTGTCCAGAGGCTGGGGAAGGATGGCAGACCGTGAGGGGCTTGGGAGGGTGACGGAGGGTGCATGTACCTCAGGACTAGAGGCAAAGTCAAGGTCTCAGCCGTCCCAGGTGCGATCCCAGCCCCTCTGCGTCCATCTGGCCCGAGGTTAAGGTGACTGAGTCCATGTGTGTGCCGTCTGTGTCATGGCAGGGGACAGAATCACGGGACGGGGCTGGGGGAGACGGGCCCAGGCAGTGACCCCCCCTCCCACCACCCCCAGATCCTGCGCTACGAGAACGAGGTGCTGCAGCTGGAGGAAGACGAGCGCTTCGAGGGCCGCGTGGTGTGGAATGGCAGCCGGGGCACCAAGGACCTGCAGGACCTGTCCATCTTCATCACCAATGTCACCTACAACCACTCAGGTGACTACGAATGCCATGTCTACCGCCTGCTGTTCTTTGAGAACTATGAGCACAACACCAGCGTTGTCAAAAAGATCCACCTTGAGGTGGTGGACAAAGGTGAGTGGGCCCTGCCTGCCCCTTCGCCCCGTGGCCCACCGTGAGCCAGATGGAGGGACAGATGGCAGATAGGGGCCGGGCTGGCTCCGTGCCTGGGCCAGCCAACCGCCCACAGCAATAGTGGGAGCGTCGTGTCCATGTCCGTGTCTGTCCCCCAGTCCCCCTGTGCGGCCCCCCCAGCTCTGGTCTCCTCTTCCCCTCACCCCACCGGAGAGGTCACAGCAGGCTCCTCCCCACAGACGTTGTAGGTACCAAACCTAGCTTGGTGGCCTGTGCTGTGTGACCTCCTGCAGGTACCTTCTTGTCTCTGGGCCACAGGGTCGTCTCTGAGATGATAGGAGTACCCCGCTTGGGGGTGTCCTTTGAGCCATTCTGATGTCTCGGGAGTTATGAGGGTTGAGCACGGGGCTGGAGACCGGCTGCTGTCCTGCGCCTGGCTCGCAGCGGGGCCTGGTGCTGGAGGACAAGGGTCGTGTTCTGATGGCCCATAGCCTTGGTCCTGCCTGGGTCTGACCTGGCAGAGGATGTCACCCAGAGGAGAGCGCCTCATATGCCACCAGTGGCTTGTTCAGGTGCCTGGCCTGACTCAGCAGATCTGGGTGGGCCCACAGTCGTCTCTAGTGCGTTTTTGAAGGTGGGGGGTGGGTGCCATAGGGCTGGGGGCCCCAGTGTGGGCAGCAGGGTCTCCGGGGTTTGTCCACCGTCTCAAGGGTTCCGCTTCAGCTGCCTGAGACCCCCGCTCTGCAGGAGCTCCACCCCTTCTCTGGCCCGTCCTCTGATTGGCATGAGTTGGAATTTTCCAGGGCCCTGTGGCTCACTGGCTTAGTCAGGAAGCTACTTTAGGCCTGGAGCCAGCAAAGAGCCATGGCAAGTCCGTCCCCTGGGACCGCAGCACACACAGCATCACGGACTGCATGCTTTACGCTTCCTCTCCAGGAGACCACGCTGGCCCGAGTGCCTCCCAGGAAGTCCCTCCCTGAGCCCTCCCGCCCACCCTCGGGGCCAGGGGTTCTTGTGCCCCCATTTTGCAGATGAGAAAGCAGAGGCTCAGGGAGGGAAGATCTCACGGCCAAGGTGACAGAGTCAGGACCTGGATCTGAACCCAGCCGCTCCTGGGTGACGATCGTTTCCGTTCCTGGCATGAATCACCGCACTCCCTCGTCAGCCGGAGCCTGCGGGACTCTTTATATAATTAGCATTTTTACGTTTCCTATCCAAGTGGATCAGCAGAAGGCAGTTCAGAAGATGTACATGAGCCACTCGGTGGCCCACGTCACCGTGTTGGGTGGGTGGTCAGCCCTGGACACGGAAGATGGAGTCACCAGTGACACAGGGGATAGAGCTGAGCAACTCTTAACAAAGACGCCCGGCCTCCCGGCCTCTACAAAACCTGGCTTATTCCTCTACCAGGAATCAGTGCCCAGGAGAGGGGGAGGCAGGTGGGGAGGCTCCAGGAAATGTTGTCCCCTGGTTTTTTCCAAATTGGCCATGGACCCTTGCTCAGAGAGCTGTCCTCACCTGCTTAGCACAGGCCCACCCGTACCCTGGGAACAGTGCTCTTCCTCACATAATCTACCCTATCATGCCGCCTCCCAGAGCCTACGTTTTTAACAATATTTAACACAACATAGAGTCCTTTGTGCTGTCTTCTGGAAGTCCATGTTTTCAGCATTAACACCGTATTCTAGTGCTTCCTATCCACCCTATTAGAGTATGGCTTTTTACATCCCCCACCCCCAGTATTTTATTTTGTACTCTCTATGATACTGTTTTTTGGGGGGATTTGTTTGCTTCTTTTTTTCTTTTGGTACTGGGGGTTCAACCCAGGGGTGCTTTACTGCTGATCTACATCCCCAGTCCTTTTTTAAATTTTTATTTTATTTTTATTTCTTTATTTTGAGACAGCGTCTCACTAAATTGCAGAAGGTCTTGCTCAGTTGCTGAATCTGACCTTGAACTTGCCATCTTCTTGCCTCAGCCTCTGAGTTGCTGAAACTGCAGGCACGCACCACCAGGCCCGGCTAGACCATGCATTTCTTGTCATTCTCTATCATGCCAGAGTCTGTGGGACATTTCCCACCATGATCTTGTGTTGTCATCCTTGCCCACCATGCTGTGCTCCGGTGCTTAAAGACATTTTTGGTGACCCTGTAGTACTGTTCAGTATCACCTGTGGTGCTGCCCTGCGCTCAGCACTACCCATGGTGCTAGAGTCAACATGATTACCCCGCTGTAGTATTTTTCCATTACTGATGATATCTCTGTATTGTTGGCATTCCCGGCCGTCTCCTGTCTTAAAAATCATTCCTGTTTTCTGTCTTACTCCACTTTCAGGATTAGCAATCAACCTGTATTGCCTCCTGGTAGTGGCCCCTGAGGAATGAACTGAGTCAGGTCCAAAGGAGGGGGCTGCGGGCTGGGCCTGTGATCACAGCAGCTCAGGAGGCTAAGGCCGGAGGATCGCAAGTTCAAAGCCAGCCTCAGCAACTTAGCAAGGTGCTAAGCAACTCAGTGAGGCCCTGTCTCTAAATAAAATATAAAAAGGGCTGGGGATGTGGCTCAGTGGTTAGGCACCCCTGGGTTCAATCCCTGGTACCAAATACAAAAGCAAACTGGGGACCATCTGGCCTGCAGAATTGCACCAGGGTTTCAGATCTGGGACCCCCTATGTGGGCAGATTAAGAGATCAAAGGCCTCCCCAGAGAAGGTGCCTGTGGCCCTGTGTGTGACTCTTCTGCCTTGGCTCCTCATCTGTAAAGTGGGCCAGTGGCAGTCCCAGCCCTCTCCTGAGATGTCCGCGGGGGTTCATGGAGACCGTGTTTGTGAACCGCAGCTGTGACCCCCCTCTTTGGTCATGGAAGGGTTACAGAGTGGAGCTCTAGCCCTGCGTTTGGTTGCACTCGAGGCTGGCTCCTGGCTCCGAGTCCCAGCGTAGCTGTGTGCCCTTGGCCTAGCACCTGTCCTTCTCTGGGCCTCAGCAGCCTGGTCTGGAAGCGGGCTACAGATTCGTGCCTTTCCCCGACCCAATCTGACTGGGAGAGGGAAGATTGGATCCTTGTTAACCTAGATCTTTGTGGGCACAGAGCTCCAGGAACAGGGGGGAGATTCCAGGGACTGAGATGTATTCAGACAGTGAGGGGCTCAGGTGGTTCCTGGCCATGGGGAGCCTGGGCAACCCCAGCCTGGGGGCCTTTCCGGGGGCCAGGGAGACTCTAAGATGAAAGCAGCGCAGAGCCCGGCCAGGAGCGGGCCATCCTGCAGGACCGTGGAGGGGTGAGTCCTGGAAGCTCCTCCAGGCTCCCCGGGGGGGGGGGGGGAGGGGCGGAGAGTCCAGCCCCGCCCCCTCCCTCCTTCTGGCCCAGAAAAGCCTCAGTGCCATCTGCACAGGGTGGGGCGGAGCAGGGGCCAGGCTCTCAGGGAGGAAGAGCCCACGAGGACAGCAGCCGGGGAAAGAGGTCCCGGCCACCCAGGAGGGGACCAGGGATGTGCATGGATGGACACCTGTGATATCCGGCTGAGGACGCCAAAGTGGCCTGTGACTCTGGTCCCCTGGCTGAATGTGTTCCCTTTGCAGTTTAAATTTAGGCTCAATGAAAGGAAGCTGGCAGAGGCAGGGGCCAGCGCTGCAGCAAGGATGTAGGGCTTCCGGAAAGTAGCCAACACTTCGCGGTGGTTTTGCAAGTCCTCCAAGCATGGCAGGGATGGGTGTTAACTCATTTCCTCTTCCTGGCAACCCCAGGAGAGGGTATTAGTATCATCCTCATTCTACAGAGGGGGCATCAAGACTCAGAGAGGTGGAGTCATTGGCCTAAGGTTGCACAGCTAGTAAGAGGCAGGATTTGCACTCTGGCTGTCTGTGTCTGGACTCTCTTCTCCTCAGCATTACGCAGTACTGCCCCAATCGTAACAGTAATAATAATAAAATGACTTTTTTTGAGTGTTTTTGATAGGTGGAGGACTAGTCTAAGCATCTTTAAAGCTTATTTAATTCTCACAGCACTTCCATGGAGGTATTGTGGTTATGGACATTTTGCACATGGGGAAATGGAGGTCCGGGGAGGTTGAGTCACTTACCCAAGGTCACACAGCGGACAAGTGGCCAAGCCAGGGTTTGAACCCAATCCTTTCGAGTGGCGGACGCTCGCTGAAGTTCCACAGGGAGGCAGTTGAGGGTGATCTCCAGGCCCATCTGAGCCTGGTTGTTAATCAGAGTAACAGCGAGGACTCTGGGGAAGCAACATGATGGTCCTGTGTGTGGCCCAGGCCCAGGGAGGTCAAGCCACTTGGTCTAGCTCACACAGCAAGTGCGCCACACACTTGGAGGTGTCTTGTCTCCTAAGGTGGAGACAGGTGCCTCAGCTGCCATCTGAACCCCACCTGGTCCCCGCAGCCAACAGAGACATGGCGTCCATCGTGTCGGAGATCATGATGTACGTGCTCATCGTGGTACTGACCATATGGCTCGTGGCAGAGATGGTTTACTGCTATAAGAAGATCGCGGCTGCCACGGAGGCCGCTGCGCAAGAGAATGCGTGAGTGGGGTGGGAGGGGACGGCCAAGGCCACCGAGGCACCTCCAGACTTCCTGGAGTGGGTGGGAGCTGCATGGGAGGGGTGGGGGCAAGACAGCAAGCCAGGGTGCCACCTGTCTGTGCTCCCCAGAGCCGGAGCAGGTTGTCAGGTTCCAGATCCTTCTTCCCTTAAACTCGGGAGTCCGGCCCACAGCCCCCTCCCCTCTAACTCAGGGGCAAAGGCCTCATCCTTCCTCATTCTCCTGGGAGGGGGGCCAACTGGTGATCGGGTCACTGTATACCTGGCCTTTCCCCCACAGCTCGGAGTACCTGGCCATCACCTCTGAAAGCAAAGAGAACTGTACGGGCGTCCAGGTGGCCGAATAGCCCTGGTAAGGCGGGTGGACAGGGACTCGGGGTCCCCCAGAGTTTTGGCCTACTGGGTCCCTAATTCCCTATCTCTCCCTCCCCTCTAGGTCCTGGGCTCCGCCCTGATGGGGGACAGCCTGCCCCCAGAGGGGGCTGGCCATTCCTGGGCCTCCACGAGCCTCAGAGTCCTGCCAACAGAGCCGCCAGGGAGGGAGGGGCAGGGGGACTGGCTCGGCTCACACCCCAACTCGGCCTTCTTTCCTCCTGCCCCTTGCCCACCCACCGCCATGCATGATGGGTAAAGCAATACTGCCGCTGCCCCTCCCCCTGCTTCTGCTGCCTGTTTGGGGAGGGGTCGGTGAGGCGGGGGCAGCGGCTCCGCACCTCTTCTTCTTGCTGATTTGCACACATCGGCCGCTTTGGACGTGCACTGCTGGGCCCAGCCTGTCCCTGCCCCGTCCCTGCCCGGCCCCGGGGGGGAAGGGGTCGTGATGGGCTGGAACAGTTTGGGGCAGGTGGTTCTGGTACCCACTGCGACCCCAGCATCATTTCCCCTCCTGCTTCCTCCGGCTGGACCTGGGGTCCCCTGTCCCTGTAATGCACTCATGCCCCGGCCCCACCCGCCCTCTCTCACCAGCCTTGGATCGTGGCCACTTAGAAAGGGGCCCATTCTGCCTCGTCTCTCTTTACAGAAGTAGTTTTGTTCATGAAATAAAGATTCTTGGACTTGATTCCCCGTCTGTCTCGTGAGTGAGCCCAGGCACCCGCTCTGCCGGGCCCCCAAGTCCGAAAGCCTTAGATTGCCCCAGGATCCTCCCTCCCAGGAGGCAGCGGGGACCTCAGGGAGTTAGGGACTCAGTGGGGAGCCTATGGAGCCACTTAGTACTTGATAAAAGCCTGGTTGAGGGGAGTCATTAGCTCAGTGGGGGCTGAGAGGCAGGGGAAGCCGGAGCCAGCAAGGGGGAGCCTCTGAGCCTTGGGGGTGCAGGTGTCCTGTGGGGGCTGCCAGAGGAGAGCAAGGGACACAGGGAGAGAGATTGGGGGCCAGCTCCAGGCAGGCGAAACCAGTGTCCGCTGGGCAGGGCCGAGGCTGGGGTCTGTGGGTTGGACTGGACAGGGGACCTGTGAGGGTGAGCAGGTGGACCTAATTGTGCGGGGACAACAGATCTGGGGTGAGCCGCCCTGGTCTGATGGCAGGCAAGTGGCTGCTGGCGACCTGGCCCGTCTGGGTGTTGATCTGGCCTGGGGTCTGACGTGGATGGCTCTTGGTTGCTGGCGGGACAGCGTGTATCTGCTCTGGCCACTTCCGGCCACTTGGCCTGGGCCTTAGCACTCAGTGTAGCCTTTTCCGGGCCAAGCCCCCATCCCCCTACCTAGGACTTTCCCGGCTCCAGAGGTCACCACGGCAGGCGGCAGGGAGGCTGCCAAAGCAAACCGGCCCCCGTGACTTGTAGGAAAGCAGCTGGGGGAGGGGGCTGGCGGGTTGAGCAGGACCATGCGGCAGAGGCCAGAGGCCGCGCTGGGCCAGGGACAGGGAAGGGGTAGAAGCGACAGGTGTTAGGGGACGGAAAGTGGCTCCGAAAAGGGAGGGGGCTGAGGCTGGAACCGGTGAGGGACAGGGGATGGGCCGGGCAGGGGCAAGGGACAGGGCATGGGCCGGGCAGGAGAAGTGGCAGTGGCAAAGTGGGCTTGGGGCAGCCAGGCCCTTCCACCTGGTTCCCTCGGATCCGGGTCCATCACCCCTGGCCGCCTCGCTGCCGCGCCCCTGCGCCCCTCGGGAGCTCCAGTCGGGCGGGTTTGCTGGGGCCGCCTGGTCCAGCCCCTGTCGGCCCGGCCCCACCAGCCAGGTGGCCTCTGGGGCTGCCAATCCCCGGGCCCGGCCCCTCCCCGCCCCTTCCCCCGCCTCCCGCCCAGCCCCCTGCTCCTCAGGTGAGGCCGCCTGGCCTAGCAGGCCCCAGCCACCGCCGCCACCGCCTCTGCCTCCCCGGCCGCCCGCTGCGGGGCCACCATGCCGCTGCCCCGGCCTGGAGACTGACCCTCAACCGCACCATCTCCAGGCTCTCCCCCCACCTGCTGGACCCCAGGGTAAGGACCAGGAACCCCAGATTCAGTTCCAATCCTGAGGACAGGGGTCCCCTCGCCCCTACCCAATTCGATGCCCACCTCCCAATCCAGGGGCTCCCAAGCACCCCAAACATGACTGTCCGACTTCTTCCCAAGGACCGAGGACTCCAGCACACTCTCCCATCAGACTTGGAGATTGGGCCCCCGGGTTTCTCCATGTTCAGACTCGGGAGTCCAGCCCCCAAATTCTTGCTTCCCCTCTGCCCTCTCTTCCCTCAGACCCCATGGGTTCCAATCCCGGTTCCCTCTGATCCGGGTCCATCACACCCGGCCGCCTGGCTCCCGCACCCCTGCACCCCAGGCTCAGGTCTGGGGGTCCTCAGCCCTTCAATTCCAGGAGTCCCCGTGGCACTGGTCAGACACTGACCCCATCCTTGAACCCAGCCCAATCTGCCTCCGTGATCATGGCATGCTCTGGTCAGAGCCCAGTCCCCCCTGGATGGACGCCTGGGACTGGGGGCGCCAGTGCTGGGCTGGGCTGGGCTCCCCCAGGCCCTGCCTTCCTGTTCATCTCCCCACAGGTCCCACCCTGGCCCAGGAGGTCAGCCGGGGAATCATTAACAAGAGGCTGTGACATGGCCGAGAAGGAGGGTGAGTCCCCCCCCTTTCCTGAGCCCCCACTTGGGCTCTGCCTGGTGCCCTTCAGCTGTGCTTTCTCTTCAACCTTCCACCCCCATGGAGCCCCCATCTCTGGTCCCCCCTCCCAAGCCCGTCCCCACCCCCTTCTGCAGCCTCGTCCACCTGATTAACCATTAACTCCGTGTTCTGTGCACTTGTGCCACCCCCTGGCTCCCTGCTACCCCGGATGACCTTCCTGGCACCTTGCCTCAGTTTCCCCTCACCCCCAGTGATTTCTCAGCTCACCCTGAGCCTGTCCTCTACTGGGGGGATGGTGACATGGGGACAGGACATTGCTCTGCTGCTGTGGTTAAGGGCCCAGATGTTAAGGTCAAACACAAGGGCCTTGCACTTGAATTTGCTCCGGCCACTTTTTTGCTGTGTAGTCTTGTGCAACTGACAGCATTTCTCTGCACTTCAGTCCCCCTTTCCCCTGCCCCCGGGGTCAAGTGTGGGTCCAATACTCCCTCCCTGAGGTAACAGGGAGCATGGAACACACAAGGCACTCGCATGGGGGCTCAGGATGTAAGACGGGTGCCATAAACAGCAGCTGTCAGGACAGAGGTTGGAAGACTCGGAGTCCCAGGGACTCAGGACCCCCAGTGCGTCCTCACATTCCTCCTACTGCCTGGCTCTGTGGGCAAAAGAGCAGAGGGAGGACTTTGGACTCAGCCCAGATGGATGGAGAGAGAAGAGGAGCTGAGAAGTCACCCTGGGGATGCTGGAGAGAAGCCACCCCGTGGAGTGGATGGCATTCAAGGGCTCTAGGCAGCCCGCCTCCCTCTCAGCCTCTTCCACACTTGGGGACCCAGCTGAAAGGGCAGTCTTTTCTTCCAACCCTACCCCAGTTGGGATTGACTCCTCCTCTTCTTCCTGGAGCCAGGCTACCTGCATTCAGTCCCAGACAGCAGCGCTTTCTAGCTGTGTGGCCCTGGGCAAATAGCTTACCCTCTCTGGGTCTCAGTTTCCTCTGTAAAATGGAGATGGCATTCGTATACCTCACAGCATGGCATGAGGGTACTGGCTGACATGACTAGCCCAGACTCTGGCCTCCTCAGGTCTCAGTCTCAGTGTAGATAGCCACTCAGACCCTCAGATCCCAACCATTCAGCTGCCATTCAGAGTGAACCAGATTCTCTGTCACTCAGGAGAAAGTGCTGGGCACCCCAGCTGAGCAGGTGGGTGACAGAGCCTGGCTCCTTTGAGACAATTTCTTCTTTCTGGATCTGAAGGGTTCTGATGCTGCACCTGCTTGCTGGGTCACTGGGGTGGGTGTCTATGCCTCTCTGGGACTCCTCTCCTCATCAGTAAACAGGATGACAGTAACGTGTGCCCAAGGCTCTCAGTGCTTCTGGGGACTGGGGAATCCGAGGAGGTGACTCCTGAGTTCAGACTCAAAGGATGAGGAGGGGTAGGTAGCGTGTGCCAGGAGGGGAAGAACATGGCTGAAGCCCGGGTGGCAGACTGCCCCGCGACACAGGGAGCGCAGCTAGTGCTGATGTTTCTGGAGGTGATGCAGGAAAGGAAGCTGTGGGGGAGATGAGTGCTGCCACTGGACCAGGCTCTGTCGCCACTGGGTCAGGAGCAGGGGGATTCCTTGGCAGTGCTGGGTCTCTCCACAAGGTGGCGCTGGCGGCAACGCTTCGTGCCTCTAGTTGGTGGTATAAGTTCTGTGCTCCCCTGGCTCTAGGAAGCTCTGGGAGGTGTACTATAGGGAGCGGAGCGCTGTTTGGAATTTGGGGAAACACATCCAACCCTCAACTCTCAAAAAGCCACACTTATATCCTACAGGGCTGGACACGTCCGGCCGAGAGACTTAGCCTCCATTCTGGGGGCACTAGGGAGTCATGGATGGTTCTAGGTTAAGAAGGGACAGGTTGGATTTGGCATTTTAGGAAGGTTCCCCAGGCTTCCTTGTGGAGAGAGACCGGAAGGGGAGACAGAGCTCGGTGGTTGGATGGGGCTGAACTGAGGCAGGACCAGGGGAAGGGAAGGAAGGGTGGACAGGAGGGTCACTTAGGAGGACTGGCCAGGCTGGAGGAACTGGCAGGCTTTAGGGAGAAGGAAGTGTCCTCCAGTTGAGGGCCAGTCCTGGGGTGAGGGCCTCGGGACCTGGGAGGAGGAGGAGATCTGGGGAGACCTTGGGGCCATGTGGGACCTGGGGGGTGAGAAGAAACTAGGGGGTTTCAGGGGAAGGTGTCCAAGAGGCTGCAGGACCCCTGACCCGGGGCTCAGAACCCAGTCCAGGGCTGAGGACAGAGAGTGCAAACCGAGGCCACAGAGGCAGGTGAGACAGACGTCAGACCCAGGAGGAGAGAGAGGGAGGAGCTCACGGCCGTCTTAGGAATCTGGATTCCAGGGAGTGGACAGAGAGCCTGGAGGCAGAGCCTTGGCGGGGTCCCAGGAACACAGTGTGTGTGGTCTCCAGAGAGGGAGCATCTCAGGCAGGAAGTCCAGGTCATGTAAGAGAGGGGTTTCGACAGATGTCACAAAGATGTCACCTTTAGTGGAGGCAGAACCATCCGGAGAGAAGCTGGGGGACTGGTGGGGGACGCCCCGAGAAACAGCAGAGAGTCTCAGGGAACAGTGGGGCCAGGAGAGACCTGACCCGCGGAACACAAAGCCCCATAGCTTCCAGAGATTGTGATGTTGAGGATGTCACCTCTCAATGGCAGGAGCAGAGAGCATCTTGTCCCAGAAAAGATACCCAGGAAGGGTGTCTCTTTCACCAGGGGACCCAGGTTAGGACACAGCCCGTCCCACCAGAGGGACCTATTTTGGAGGTGCTCAAAGTCCTAGCGTGGAAGCAGGTACTTTCTTGTCACCCTAGGAGACACAGGTGGCATTGCTTGCTGTCCCCCCAGATACATCAGAGCCTCTAGGTCTTGTGCAGACTGCACCCCTGGCAGGCACACCCCGAGACAAAGGGCCCGGAGCCTGTAGATGCAGGAAGCCAAGACACTCCCCTGGAACCAGGAAGATGTCAGAGGCCGGGCTGGGCGTGGGGACAGGCCTGAGAGCCCTCCCCGCCCGTCACCAGGACAGGCAGGGGCTGAGCTGGGTCGCCCCTGCCCAGCGCCTCCTGGAGGGATGCAGCATTTCCTGATGCTGGGTGGGAGCCACCCAGACAAGGACTCTCCCCGGAAGGTCCTGGACCACTCCCGGCTCTGTTCCGGGTACTGACCTGGCACTCTGCCCACCAAACATGCCACCCCAGGCACGGACGAGGGAGCTGGGAGCTCCTGAAGCCCTGAGAGAACTTTCTGGCAGCGGAGCCCAAGACAGGGCCAGGGCCAGGCCATTAGTGGTCTTTTTCCTTTGGTCCTCCTAGAATCCCTAGCGGGCGAGTTGGCGTTTGATCTCCAGGACCTCTGTGCACTGGAAATACAGTTCTTCCCTCCTCTGGGCCACGAGGCCTCCCTAGCTGGCCCGGGCCTTGGTTCCCACTGCCCTCCCTAAGCCTGTGCCCTTCTGGCCTCCTCCAGGGCCTCTCTAGCCCTCTAACACAGTGAGCTTATTCTTGCCTCCTGGCTTTGCCCATGCTGTTCCCTCTGCCCACCATGCTGTTCCTTGATGTCCTCGCATGGCTGCCTTTGCATTCTGGTCTAACTCCAGAGTCTTCTTTTCTTCTTCTACTTTTTTTTTTTTTTGGTACTGGGGATTGAACTCAGGGGCACTCAACCACCGAGCCACATCCCCAGCCCTGTTTTGTATTTTATGTAGAGACAGGGTCTCACTGAGATGCTTAGGGCCTTGCTAAGTTGCTGAGGCTGGCTTTGAACTCGGGATCCTCCTTTCTCAGCCTCCTGAGCCACTGGGATTACAGGCGTGCGCCACTGCACCTGGCTCAAAGTCTCTTCTTCGGGAACCTCATCCCCCTTGAGAAGCCCCCCACCTCCATTATTTTCCTCATAGCCTTTGCCACAATCTGGAAATTATCAGGTTCATGTTTAGTTGCGGGCATCCCTGCTTCCAACTCACACCCCGAGAGAGCCATCCTCTTGTCTGTCTGTCTTAACCTCTGCTCCCAGAGCCTAGAGTGGTGCTAGGGACACAGAGGATGCTCAGTAAGGCTCAAGCTCCATTTTACCCACGCAAACAGAGGCTCAGAGGGGTGAAGAGCATTGCGAGGACCACACAACTCTAAGGAGGTCTCAAGCATGTACTGAGCACTTGCTGTATGCCAGTGGCACAATGAGAGGCTTCATGGTTATGTACTTTGGACCCGGCACCCAGTCTGCCCAGGGTTCAGATCTCAGCTCTGCCTCTTTGCAGGCTGAGTCACACTGGGCATGTAACTTGACTTCTCTGAGCCGTAGGAAAAGTGGGCATCGCAATTCAGGGCTGATACACAGACTGAATAGTTGATGTGTTTAGAACAGTGCTCGGCGCACAGAGAAAAATGAGTTGGCTCAGTATTATTTAAAAGGACTCTAAAGTGTCGTTTTTAGAAGTGGGTGCTGGGTGGATGCCCACTGAACAGATGAGGAAACCGAGTCTCAAAGAAATGGTGCCATTGCCCAAGATTCCAGCCAGAAGAGTGAGGCTGGCAACTTTCCAAACTTCGGTTCTCAACTTCCAGGGACCACATTGGGTTTGGGGGCTGGGGGGGTCTCCCAAGCAACGGGGGGAGGGGGAAATCAGCGTCATGAGCCCTGATGCTGCACGAGCCCCTGGAAAAGTCAGCCGAAGAGAGAGGTCAGGGGGCACAAAGTGACAACAGAAATGCCAAAGCTCAGTGCACCTGGGAGGAGGAGTCCCCTAAGAGCCAGAGGAGTGCCAGGGTAGTGGCAGCGGGCCCAGCCGTGGCCCCTCCCCAGCTGGAGCCCTTGGGGAGCTGGACACCTGGTTGTCCACCTGGCCGGGGAGGGACCGCCCTGCCCATTCTCGGCCCCAGGGCACAGCAGGCTCAGTGGTGACAAGTTAGCCCTGGGGGGCAGGGCAGTGCTGGCCCGGTGCCTGGACCCTGCAGCAACGGGGACAGGCCTGGCAGTGGCCCCAGCATGGTGTCTGTTGCAGGTGGCCGGACTGTGCCATGCTGCTCCGGACCCAAGGTGGCAGCTCTCATTGTGGGGACCCTCCTCCTCCTGACGGGCATCGGGGCAGCGTCCTGGGCCATCGGTGAGAGTGGTCCCTGTGCCTCTGACCTCCCCTGGCCCTGCGTCCCCCGATGCCTGCCCTCACCTCCGCCTTCTCTGCAGCGACTCTTCTACTCAGGAGTGACCAGGAGCCGCTGTATCCGGGTGAGTACAGCAGCCAGGACCCTCTGGGGGTCCCTGGAGGAACCTGCGGGGACGTGGCTCAATAAAAGTATTTTTGAGTGAACGTATCGGTGCACGCGGAAACGCTAATGATAATAGTGCATTTGTATCGAGTGCCAGCTGTCCCAGGCATGTTTTAATAAGTCTGTCCCTTGTCCAACCCAGTGTTTTTCAGGCTCCAAATGGCTCACTCCTGAGTGCACGAGGGATTTAAATTAGGGAGTTGGAAACTCCCACTTTTTAAAAGTGATTAGAAAATATCAGGGTGCATCTCTCCCAGTAGGAAAAAGTGTGGTTCGTTTTCTTCTTTGGGTTTTGTGTATTCATCGACATGCCATCCCGTGGCCTCTTCCAGCAGCCCTGTGAGGGTAGAACTGTGATTCTCCCCAGTTTACAGACGGGGAAACTGAGGCTGCATCATGTAGTTAGCCTCAGACCGCAGCGCTCCCGTGGACCACGTTGCGCCGCTGGGCCTGGTCAGCACATGTTCTGGAGGCACAGTGGGGATTCAGGGATCCTCTAACTCCCCTAGGAGGTAGGAGAGCGAGGTTTGCTCAGGCTACTATTTGCCCATTTTCCAGATGTGGGAAATGAGTACCAGAGAGGACACAGCTGGTAATGATGGGCCCAGAGTGGCTCACCTTGGCCAGATGTAGCCATGGCTGCAGGCCCGTGGGGTGCCCGCCACAGCACTCAGGAGATGCAGAAACGAACTGTGGGATGAGGGAGTGAACCTGCCCTAATGCCTTGTGTGACCCCAGGGCAGCCGAAAGAAAGGGGGACTTGCTTGGGAAGTGTGTTTTCACATCTTCAGGCCTCCTCAGATTTCTTAAAGAATTCAGTTCACACCAAGAGCAATAATGAAGTTCCAGACCCAAAAAGCCAGCATCAGCGTCCCCTCTGCTGGCGGGCACTTAGGTGACGTTTGCCTGGGTCAGGCGAGCACCTTGGGGCTTGACCGGATCAGCTTTTTTTTTTTTTTTGGTACCAGGAATTGAACTCAGGGGCACTCAATTCCTGAGCCACGTCCCCAGCCCTTTTTATTTTTTTATTTAGAGACAGGGTCTCACTGAATTGCTTAGGGCTTTAATAAGTTGCTGAGGCTGGCTTTGATCTCAAGATCCTCCGCCTCAGCCTCCCGAGCTGCTGGGATTACAGGCGTGCGCTGCTGCACCCAGCTCGAATCCGTTCCTTCAGTCCTCCCAAGCGCCCCTGTTTGTATGGGGGAACCAAGGCACATTTTGGCCAAGGGACTTACCCCAGGTCACAGAGCTAGTAGGTGGCAGGGCTGTGACTTGCACCCTGGGTGGCCACTGTGGGTGACTCCCACCCTCTATTGTGTGTCAAGGAACTGCTGAATTCGTTGTCATGGTAAAAGGTAACCTATGCCAGGTCCCAACCACAACCTTTACCCAACAGGCCTACGGGCTGGGAGGTGTCATAGATCTAGAGTTTTGTGTGGGCTGTGGGAACCTGGCACCCAGTGAGGTGAACCGACTTACCCGAGACCACTCATTGGCAGAGACATGAGATTAGGCTCTTGCAGAAAGCCCCGGGGGTCGCAGGATGAAGTACCCACCTCATAGGCTCCTGGGCTCCCAGGATGAGGGACTCAGTCCACCCCACCTCCCCCGACCTCTGGCACTCTCTGGGCTCCAGTCTGTGGGGGTTCCCCTGCTCCCCCCGATGCCCCATTCCTGCTGTCCTCGTGGACCCACCTCGTGCTCCCACTCCTGATGTGGGGCATTTTGTTTACTGGTCAGGCAGTACTTGGCGCACAGTAGGCGCTCAGGACATCTTGGCTTAATAAATAGCACCAGGATAGATCACCGAGATGAGCTAGGCTGTCCTGGGCCTTCAGCTGGACAGTCACCTGGCCACGACTCAAACCTGGATCTGGCCAGTTTCCAGAACCCTGGGGAATCGTGAATCAAAACGACCCCCCATCCCTGCCTTGTTTTGTGGGATTTCCCGCCTCTGTCAGACGGTGTAGGAGGCCCACAGGTGACCCGGAACGCACTTTTGGCATTGCCTAAAATAATATAAACAAGAAGAAAACATTTCAAAGTGAGACGCGGCGCATAGACTGTGGTTTTAAAAATAACCGGAGGAGGCATTTGCTGTCCCCCTCCCCTCCCCCGCTCCCCACACCTCCCGCAACACCCATCCACGGACTCATTCCTTTTTCTCAAACCCCACACTTGCTGGAAATTTCTGGAACAGTTAGGCGTCATTTAAAAGTAAGACTCCACCTCCACCCTACCGCCCCTGCCTTGCTGTCCCAAACTCTGTTCTGGTCTCAGAGCTCAGGGAGCCGCGGGCACCACCCAGAGGAGAGGAGTACCACCCCCCAGGTGAGAGGCCATCATTACACCAGACCAGCCAGACAGCTTTTCAGTCAAGTGCAGCCAGGGAAGGGTCAGGCCCGGTCCACATGGAGCGGGGACTGAAGGTCGGCACGTCTGGGGTTCCAATCCTGGTTTCGCCAGTTCTTTGCTATGTGTCCCCGGGCACGAGTATCCTTCCTAGGCTAATCCCCCCGCCCCGACTGGTGGGACGAGCATGGAAGTGGTCACTAGGTGGGCCTGGTTTCCGCCCTGTCCTTGCCTCTCACTGGCTTGGTGGTGTTGGGTGCGCCAGCCCATCTCTCTAAGCCTCTCCATCTGGAAAATGGCAGTGATTTGGTGGCTACGAGGCCTGGGTTGATGGCGGGGCAGGGAGAGTGTGGGCATAATGCCAGGCACACAGTAGGTCCTCAGCAGGGCAGGTGCTTGTTGGAAGTCCTGCCTTCTCTGGTTCAGACCTGTGGGTACCCAAGCAGGCCCCGCCTGGGTGCGGCCTCACCGGGTTCCTCTTAGAAGAAGTCAAAGGCCAGTTATCACCAGACTCGGTGTCCCAGAAGGTGCCATCAGGCCACGCTGGAGGCTCCTGAGAGCACACAGAGGCTCACAGCCCATGTTTTCACAAACCCGTCCCCACCTCTGCAGCTCCATCCTTCTGGTGGCTCTGAGGGCTTGTCCTTGACCCCTCTCTTGCCTTCACTTTCACAAGTGGATCCAAAGCAGACTGTCAGCTCCACCTGCAAAACTTATCCAGAATCGCACTCTTCCCCAGCCCCCTGCTCCCGCCTGGGCCCAGCCCCTGCCCCCTGCCTGGGCTTCACCGCAGGCTCCTGCTCCCGCCTGGGCTCCCCCCTGCAATCAGAGGAGCCTGCATGGGGCCCTCCAGCTCTGAGCCCCCTGCTGCACCGGGTTCCAGCTCAAAGCCCAGCCTGGCTCCGGTTGTCCCCAGCCCCACGGCCCCCACCCTGCACCCGCCCTGGGCTCTGGCTTGCAAGTCCCTTGGCCTAATTTGCTGTCCCCTCGCGCGTGTATTTTGCCTGTCTTCCTCACCTCCCTCAGATCCTTAGATGCCACCTTCTCTGCAAAGCTGTCCCTGCCCACCTACTGAGATGTGCCACCTCACGCCCGTCCCCTCCCGTCAGCTTCCTTTGTCTGCATAACCCCTTCTGTTGTGACATGTGACATATTTTACTGCTTCATCCTGTTTATTATCTCTCTCCCCGACTGGGCTTTGGGCTGCACCAGGGCAAGGGTTTGTCTGATGTGTTCATTGCCTAAAATAGCTCCTGGCACCTCGGCGTGTTTGGTAAACAGAGGAAATGCACCTGAGGGCTGTGACCCGGCTCAGGTGCTATCAGGGATCCCCTGATGCATGGGCTGGATCGATGGGCCCCTGGGGACATCAGTCTCCACACAGACTGCCCCCCTCCCCCAGCCCAGAACGGAACCACCTCCCAAGAGCTTGCTCCGCTCCCGCCCTCCTGGGTAGCTCAGCCCTGCTTCATGTCACGGGCCACTTTTTCATTCCTGTCTCTCCAGACTCAGTGGCTTGGTGATGGCAGAGCCCAGAGCCGTCTCTTGGTCATCCTTGTGTCCTAGCACCACTGGGCTTGGAGCATGGTCAATGTCTGATGCGTGAAAGAATGCATATTGCTTTGCCTAAATGGGACATAAGCATTGGAGGCTCTGATGAGTCCCACAGAAAAGCCAACCTTCTTCTCCCTCCTCCTCCTCCTCCTCCTCCTCCTCCTCCTCCTCTTAACCCTAGAATATTTATTTAAGTGTTTCAGGAACCTGGTGTATTAGTCAAGGGTCTTCAGACTGCAAAAGACAAAACGAAGTAATGAACTGGCTAAGCAAACAGGAAACTTATTAGCTCACCCAACTCTGGGGTTTCTTTGGGGACTTTAAAAATGTCCCCAGAAACCTCTCCGCTCTCCCCCACATGAGCTGCCCCTTCTTCTCACGGGGGCAAAGAAGGCCCTTAACATCTGAGTGATGGGTGCAGCCATTTTTGGAAAACTGGGGACATGGAAAGGACTCCCTCTCCCGAATGCTCCAGTTTCGGTGGCCAGCTTCGGAGTCCGGGGCCCAGCGGCTGGTGGCCCCAGCTCCTTGCCCTTCGGCGCCTGCGCTTGCTCCTGGGCCCTGTGAGGCCTGGGGCTGGAGCCACCTGACCTAACAGGCCAGGGGGGCTGTGGCCAGGGAGGTGGGTCAGGATCATGACCGCGGGACCCAGGCGGCCGGCTCTGTCACCCTGCAGTGCAGGCCAGCCCTGTGGACGCCCGGCTCACGGTGTTTGACCAGACGGAGGGGACCTGGCGGCTGCTGTGCTCCTCGCGTTCCAACGCCAGGGTGGCAGGGCTCGGCTGCGAGGAGATGGGCTTCCTCAGGTACCAGGGAGCCCCAGGGGGTGGGGCTGGGGGCGGGAGGAGCAGGTCTGACCCCCGCCCTGCCCAGGGCCCTGGCCCACTCGGAGCTGGACGTGCGGACGGCAGGCGCCAATGGCACGTCGGGCTTCTTCTGCGTGGACGAGGGCAGGCTGCCCCACGCCCGGAGGCTGCTGGACGTCATCTCTGTGTGGTGAGGAGGGCAGCGGCAGGTGGGACAGTCCCTGGCCCCTGGGTCTTCATTTTCCTCTTGTCTGAGCTAATTGGTGTTTTGTTTCTGTGTCCTCGTCCCTCTCTCCATCACAGTGACTGTCCCCGGGGCCGGTTTTTGGCTACCATGTGCCAAGGTGAGACCCCCAAACTCAAGACTGTTTCCTTTAGCTTCTCCCCTGGGGGAACATGGCCCCTTAGACTCTCCCCAGGGCAGGGCTGTGGCCCTGCAGGTCCCCCAAGGGGCTGTGTCAAGTTCAGACCGCAGGGTGGGGCAGGGCCGGGCTCTGTCCCCTCAGTCCCCCGGGGCAGGTCTTCCTGTCCTCAGACGCTCCATCACGAGCCCTGGGCTCTCAGAACCCAGGGCCAGACCTCTGTTGGGCTCCCACCTCACCCTGCCACCCCGATGCCTTCCCCCACAGACTGTGGCCGCAGGAAGCTGCCCGTGGACCGCATTGTGGGAGGCCAGGACACCAGCCTGGGCAGGTGGCCCTGGCAAGTCAGTCTGCGCTATGACGGTGCACACCTCTGTGGTGGGTCCCTGCTCTCCGGGGACTGGGTGTTGACAGCTGCCCACTGCTTCCCAGAGTGAGTGCCCCCACAGCACCCACCAGGGGGAGAGGCGGTGAGGCCGTGCCTGGCTGGCCACCACCCTTCCCTCGTGTCCCTTGGCAGGCGGAACCGGGTCCTGTCTCGATGGCGGGTCTTTGCCGGTGCTGTGGCCCAGGCCTCGCCCCAGGGCATGCAGCTGGGGGTGCAGGCCGTGGTCTACCACGGGGGCTACCTTCCTTTTCGAGACCCCAACAGTGAGGAGAACAGCAATGATATCGCCCTGGTCCACCTGTCCAGCCCCCTGCCCCTCACAGGTACATCTCGGGGGCAGGGCTGAGCCTTGACTTGGGGACTCCAGAGACAGACAGGACAAAGGAGGGGGACAAGAGCAGACTAGAATGCATTGATGACCCAGGTGTTCATGGTAATCAGGGGAATGAGTGATCATTAAGTCTGGGCAGTGGGTACAGCCACTTGGGAATGTTCTGGCAGTTGACCATGTGACAGTTCCATACCTGGGATGCACATCCAGGAGGGACACCGCGTGTCTACACAACTGTACACAAATGTTCACGTCAGCATTATTTATAAAAGCCCAAAGATGAAAACAACCCACATGCGTATCATCTGACAGATGGATAAACACAACAGAGTGCGTCCCTACAGCGGACTCCTATACGGCCATGAAAAGGAAACAAGATAGGGGTTCACCCGGCACCACGGGTGAACTGGGGAGTCCTTCTGTCCAGTGAAGGAAGCCCGTCTTGTGTGATTCCATTCCTATGAAATGCCCAGAACAGGCAAATCCATAGAGATCAAAAGTGGGTTCATGGTTGCCAAGGGCGGGCAGCGGGACTGTGGAGACTGGGAGGATTGGTAAAGGATACAGGGTTTCTTTGGGGGGTGGTGACATGTTCTAAAGTCCAGAGTGGTCACCATGTGTGTCTGGGAATACACTGAAGCCGTGGACTTGCACGTTCCAAGCTGGTGAGCAGGACGGCCTGGGAGGTGTAGCTCACGAACGTGCTTCCCAGAATAATTAAATGAAGTATGAAATCTAAACAGGGAGAGGCCAGATCCGTGGAGAGGTCGCCAGGAGTCCCTCCTTTTACAGTTCTCTGCATAGACCTCGGGTTCCAGCTCTGCAGGCCCCAGTGTGATAGTAACAAAAATCATGACACAGTGGCGATGTAGTTATGGGCCACAGGAGATGGTGTTGGTCAGTGATGGACTGTACAGGGGACATGGGCCCGTGAGCTTATGTGGCCTCAAGCATCTCAGGTCGCATCAGCTACATTCTGTGCTATCTGCACAAAGTCACGTCACGATCCATCTCTCAGATACGGACCCCACCCTTAAGTAACGCCTGGCTGTAAAGCAACGAGGTGACTCAGTAGTGGCTTTGCCCACAAGCCTCCACGCTAGCGCGGTGCCTGCCCCGGGCCAGGCTCTGTCCTCATCCCTCGCTCACGGTGGCCCCGAGGAGCATCTCACAGAGCCCGTGGCCCACCTGCACAGGGTCCCCGCACAGGGAAGGGAAACCGCTCCAGGCTCCACGGCTGGCAAATGGCAGAGCCGAGCTGGGGCTGCCTGGCGCTGCCCGTGGTGCCAGGCCGGGGGCCGGGGAGTTCGGTACTCTGCCGTGGTCCGCAGCACGTTATTGAGGTCATTTTCTCTTTTGTGATCTGAGATCCCAGTTTTTCACTTAAGGGAGGGATATACGGTTTTTTCTTCCCTTCTCCTTAGCGAAGAGTGGAGGGTTTACAATGTTGAAATGAGGACTGGGAGGGTGGCGGGGAGCAGCCGGGTTTGAGACACATGGCTGAGGGCTCTGGGGACAGATCCGGTTATTTGTCGACGGTGGGATCTGGGGCAGGTGGCTTCACTGTACTGTGCCTGTTCCTCAACTGTAAAACAACTTCCTAGGGTTGTTGAGGCGATCAAAAGGGTTCAAACGAGTAAAGAGCTTTGAGAATCAGCAGTCCAGAGCAAATGCTCCAAAACTGTTAGCAGTTACTGCTGTGACTGCCACTTATTACTGTGACTAGTCACCAAATACTTGCTGTTTGATTCCAGGCATATGCTGCCTCACCAAATTTTCAGGGTGCTTCCGGTGGGTCATGATCATTATTTTGATTTTACAGCTGAGGCCTCTGAGTCTCAGGCAGGAAAAGTCAACAGTCAGGGCTGACAGGACCGCTTGGGAAGGTTGTGCACTGCACAAGGGTGCCACATCTCGGAGGGGCATTCTTGGTGTAGGGCTACGTATTTCTCGTTATGACAGGTGGAAGTCAAGCATCTCAACACAGGATTCTTCACAAAGATGCCCTTTGGGCTGGGGGTAGTGCCATGGCTGTGGTTAACAAAACAGGCTCAGAAATTGGGCCAACCTAGGTCCAAATTCTGACTTCACCATTGATTCGTTATGAAACTTTGGTCAAGTGACTTGGCCTCGTTTCCCTTCTCTGGGGTCATGGCTGCCCCTACCCCCCGGGGCTGACGGGAGATGAGATGAACAGGAGAGCACTTAGCACACTGAGAGCTCGCCTAGGCGGTGGGTCACTGTGGGCATCACAGACGGTCAGAGGACAGGGTCTGGTGGGGGGACGTGGAGGCAGCTGAACGGGCTTGTGCTGGGCGGGGCTGGGCAGGCCAGCAGGGGCTGGACCGACGGGGTCTCTGTCACAGAATACATCCAGCCCGTGTGTCTCCCGGCCGCTGACCAGGCCCTGGTGGACGGCAAGATCTGCACTGTGACGGGCTGGGGCAACACGCAGTACTATGGTGAGTCCTGTGCCCTGCCTGGACACCGTCATTAGGGAGACTGACCCGGGCAGGGGAGGGGCAGTCCGGTGCGCTGGACAGCCACAGGCCCTGGTGTGTAGAGACTCTGGGGGTCGTGGGGTGGGCGCCAGGAGGGAGGGGGTCGTGCATGCTCCTGGGCTCCAGCCAGCCTTGCCCCCGCACCCCCAGGCCAGCAGGCCCGGGTGCTCCAGGAGGCCCGAGTGCCCATCATCAGCACGGATGTCTGCAACGGCCCCGACTTCTACGGGAACCAGATCAAGCCCAAGATGTTCTGTGCCGGCTACCCCGAGGGTGGCATCGACGCCTGCCAGGTAACGGCTGTGGGGGACAGCTGGGCCCCTGCTGCCCAGGGACGGAGACCAGGGCAGTGGGCGGCGGGGCTCCCTGCCTGAGCACAGAGGGCCTCCTGGCCTCCAGCCGCCTTGCCCTTCCCTCACCAGGGTGACAGTGGTGGTCCCTTTGTGTGTGAGGACAGCATCTCTCGGACGCCACGTTGGCGGCTCTGTGGCATCGTGAGCTGGGGCACTGGCTGTGCCTTGGCCCAGAAGCCAGGTGTCTACACCAAAGTCAGTGACTTCCGGGAGTGGATCTTCCAGGCCATAAAGGTGAGGTGTCCCCTCCCCACTGGGGGGACTCTGGGGTGCTAAGGGGAGGCTGAAATTTTGGGCACCCTAGAAGAAGGCGCCCTGGGGGACCGATGGGTCTCCAGTCTTCTGGGGAAGGGAGATGGCTCGTGGGACTTTGGGGGAAGCCCCTCGGACCTCAGAAGCCCCAGCTGTCTGTCCCCAGACTCACTCCGAAGCCAGCGGCATGGTGACCCAGCTCTGACCTGTGGCGGCTCCTCGCAGCACACCTGTCCGGGGCCCGAGGTTGGGTGGCTTCAGCTCCACACGACAGGATCCACGCTGAGCCCAGGAGGGAACACTCTTCCTCTTGAACCAGTCCACAGGCCCAGGGACGCCCTCCTCCAAGGTCCTGTCTTCCACAGTGGGGGGCTCACTCTGCCTCGGACCATCCAAGCCTCACCCTCCCGACCCTTGTAAATATTGTTCTGCCCTCTGGGGGCTCCTGTCTGGAGGCCCCTGAGGACAGGATGCTGTTTAAATAATAAAGATGGTTTTGATTAATGCGGCCTCCGAGTTTGCAAGTGTAAGCAGCAACGAGGACATTTTATGGAGAGGGAAGAGAGGAATTAGGGCCTGGGGTTTATCAGGTAGAACGTGTGATGCCCCACTTTCCACAAAATTAAGATTTTTTTCAAACACAGTGACACCCACCTGTAATCCCAGTGACTTGGGAGGCTGAGGCAGGAGGATTACAGATTCAAGGCCAGCCTCAACAACTTAGGGACACCCTGTGTCAAAATAAAATAAAAACAGGTCCTGGGATATAGCTCAGTGGTAGAGCACTTGCTGAGCATGATTAGGATCCCCAATCCAAATCCCTAATATAGCAAAAAAGAGAGAGATTTTGACCAGTTTGCTTAAATGGAAATACCCTGGGGGCATACTGGCTTTAGGTACTGCTAGATCCAGTTGCCCTCAAATCTACTTTAATTGTGTCAGTTTCCTTTCCAAGCAGCTGCTCCTACACACAGAGACAGAGACCTCCACCTAAACTCCAGGCTTAGACACCTCACCCAGCTTTGCAGCTCTAGCTACAAATGTTTCTTCCCTAATAGCAAAACAAGTCCCAAGGAGACCCAGGTCTCTTGAACAGATTTGATGGTATGTTCTCATTGAATCACCGTGCACTTGATGCACGTGGGGGTGGGGGGTAGGGGGGATGCACAGGGGGTTGTCCTTCAAGAACAATGTAAGATGAAATGAAGACTTGTTTCCAGAAAAAGTGGACATCAATGCCCAGTGAGCAAAAGCACATCTTCTTTGGACCAACACAGAAAACAGGGCCTTTTGGATGGAGGTGGGGTGCAGGCCTTGTGATTGCGCGCTGAAGCCCCCACCCCTACATCCATGCGGGCTGGGGTCAGGTCCCACCTTTTCTTGGAATGGGGCTCCCCAGCCCGTATTTCTCTCTCTCTCTCTCTCTCTCTCTCTCTCACACACACACACACACACACACACACACACACACACACCCCTCTGGAGCATCTGCAGATCTTTGTGATGGCCAAGAGGGCCACCAGAGGGCGCTGTTGCCTGTACATGGCGAGAACACGTTTCCAGCCTAGTGTTGTTAAAAACCAGCAGAAATAATGTGTCCACTGGGTGCCTGTTTCTTGATACTTTAAAGGATAAAAATTATAAGGTATCAACCTCAAGCTCCCAAGAAACTTCCTAGAGTATAAATAGACCCTCCCCCCAAAAAAAATCTCCTTTGAAGGACTAACAGAACATCCATTTGGGAAATGCTCCAACCATGTACCTGTCCCTGATCCCCAAGCCTTAGTGAGGTTGGTCTCCACCATTGCTGATCAGTGGAATCTCCCAACCCTGTTTCTCAGCTTGCAGAACCTGCACACAGACTTTCCAAATGACTGCATGTGGCTGCACTGTCCTAACTACAGTATTTGGGGTGTGATTTGAGATTTGACTTGCACATTAGTTTGTTAGAAATGTACAGAGTTAGAGGAGATGACTGAAATTTTTCAGCTGAAAATCGTGTTGTACATGTGTTTTGTGAAGTTTGGGGACTCTGGGGGAATGTGACTCACCCTGGGGTGATGGTCTAAACAGATATGTCTATGCCTTGGTTGGGGGATTGGGTCTGAGCAGCAGGGGGCACTTAAGAGGTCATGGACCTGCCCTGGTGGATCTGAGGGAATGTGGCCCTATTCTAGGGGATCTGAAGAAAGTTTGACATGTATTAGTCTGTTTTCCCTTGCCATAACAAAATACCCAAGATTAGATGCTTTATAAAGAAAAGAGGATTATTTAGCTCACAGTTTCAGAGCTGGAAGTCCAAGATTGGGCAGCCGCATCCACGTAGGCTCTGATGAGGGTCTCACAATGGATGCTTCACAATGACAGGGAAAGATCACATGGGAGATAGTAAGAGACCAGGTGGGGGCCAGTCTTGTTCTTGGGGTCTGCCAGCACCCTTGCTTTCTTGGAGTGGAGCAGGAAGGGGGGTTGGGTCTCCCTCAAATCCATTCACTAGTTTTCTTAGGATGCAGGAGTCAGTGGGTTTCAGGTACTCCTCTGACTCCCACCTACCTCGCCACCCATCCCAAGGAGCCAAGGAAACCTAAAGATCAGTATAATGACAATCTCAACATTGCTTTAGGGTTCTGCTGGGATCTTGGGCTTCAAAAGGCTGGACGTTAAAAACCCTTTCTTCTATGTCATGCTGTGCCTCCCGAGTCAGATATCGATCCATCTACAGAACAAGTGTAGCCACATCAGGACCACAAGCAAGGCCTGGCAATCACATTTAGCATTTATATCTGACTATCCTCTTTTCAAATATAGAGAAGCCTTCTGGGTGTTGCTTGGGGTAGAAAGCTCTGTAGGGGGTTGGTTAAGCTGGCATTTTTGCAGTCAAGTCGAAGGAGAAATGTATAGTTACTCTTTCATAATAGTTATTTAACAGTGGAAACACTAAAAGATTAACAGTGGTTGTCAAGGCCGGTAATTTTATATTCAGAAATAACCGCTGTGAATGTTCAAATAGTGGTGTAAGTAGGGCAATGGATTTTGGTTTCTGCATGAGAGGTAATGCTATTTCAATTATTCAGTGATTAAGTGAGCTGTTGCTCTGGCTCTGTTTCAGCAAAACAAACCACCCTAAACCTAGTGGTGCAAAGTAGCAACCATTGTATTAGACTCATGGACTCCACGGCTCAATGTTGGATAGACGTTGGAAGGGACGGCTTACCTCTGCTCCATGATGCTCAGGTCCTTAGTAGGAAACCTAAAGATAGTGACTTGGGGAACAGGGACTGGATCATGAAGGCTTCTTTACTCATAAATCTGGTGCCTGGGCTAGAATGGCTAAGAGGCAGGGATCCATTGGGACTTCCAATTCATTGTCTGTCCAAGTGATTTGGGCTTCCTGCTGTTATGGCTGCCTCCGGACCTTTGGACTTCTCACCAGGCAGCCCAGGGCTTCAGAGCAAACCTCTGCATTTTACACCACGGCCTCACTACCACAAAACTTCCCAGACTCTATGATAGGGGCAGAGACCCCACTTTTCAGTGGAAGACACATCAAAAAATTCAGGGCCATTTCTTAGAACTGCCATTGGAACTTATAGACCATAGGAGCAAGTTGATAGTTGACAAAACAGAAATAATCCCTCACTAAAAATTCGGCCTGAAAGATTTGCCTGCTAAAGTTGCAGATAACAAAAATTATATTCTTTATAAAGTAAGCCATCTCAGGTATTTTGTTATAGCAAAGGAAAACAGACTAATACACGCCCAACTTAGCAATACACGGTCCCATTTGTTTGTTCGGTTCAGAGGTTCATTCTATAATGGGAATGTTCAGCTTCGGAGAAAGCTTGATTTTAGTACTTAGTCAGCATTTGGCCACAGTATCTATTTGTTGTACCATATATAATAATTTTTTATATTAATAAATATTCTCATGAATATTGTTTTTAGCATTTTTTCTGTACCAAGCACTGTACCGGGAGCTCTCTGTATGTTCCTTCAGTATTTCCTCAAATTCAGATGTTTGAAGGTACTGATTTTAATTTTGCTATTCATTCATTCATTCATTCAATTAATATTTATGAAGCACCTATTACGCGCCAGGCACAGTTCTGGGTGATTTGTTTTATTTATATTTCTCTTCCTTTTCATATTTCTTTTTCTTTTAAGCTCGACTCTGACAGTAACAGGTACGAAAGTGTGGATTTCGTGTGGTAGTGGCAGATACATGTGTTTTCAATATAAATCAGAATAAAAAATGTAAGTGAAGGAACACTGAGAAGATGATAACAAACGTCTCCTGTACTCTCTGGGGTTCCTGCACCCAGGGTGCCGCACCGCGGGAATCACTTGGTTCATCCCCTTACAATCTGGGAGGAAGGGGCCGTGGGGCTCAGCCTCCTTCCCTGGTCATCTGTCCCAGGTGCCAAGCTGAGCCTGGGACCCGTGAGGAGAGCAACTCTGCCGAGGGCAGGGGGCCACCCTTTCCCACCGGCTCTGCAGCCCCGAACGTCTCCAGATGCGAAACTGTCACCCAAACGTGCCCCTGGATGGGCAGGAAGCGAGGACCCAGCTCAGTTTCGATGGGGCCAGAGGGACCCTACAAATAACCTGGCCTAGGCGTGCCTCTGTCCCACCTGGCGTGGCCATGAGAAAGGCCAGCTTAGGTTGGGGGAGCCAGATCCATGCCCTTGGGACATCTGATTTGAAGGTGAGTCCCCACTGCCTAACTATGAGCACCTTCTGGAGGGAGAACCTCTGCGAACCTCCGCAGGTGCGCAGTGCTGAGCCCCTTCCTGCTCCCTGTTCACCCTCCAGGTGAATGTCCTCCTGCCACTGTGTCCCCTGCAATAGTCCTAAATGCCCAAGACGAGGCTCAGCCCCCATCCTTCTCTGTGGAATCCCGGCCCCGGGGCCCCGGGGGGCCTGGTCTTCGCTTCCCACAGGCTCCCCCTGTTCCCAGGAGTCTGTGAATTAATCTTGAACCTGCAGGAGAGGGAACTGGCAGGGTCCATGGGGAGCACAGGCGCTGGGCGACCTCAGCCTCCTGTCAACCCTTTCACCAAGAGATGCCTCGATTCTTCCTTCTGCAGGTGGCTGGACTGGCCTTGGCCGCTGAGGAGTGTGGAGGCCGCTGCGGCCCCTGGGAGCCTGTGGCAACCCTGGGGCTGGGGAAGCCCTGGACACATCGGTCCCTCTTCCTTCCTGGCTGCACCTCTCTCCCCCAGGCCTGCCCAGCCCCAGCCAGACAGGGTGGGCCCAGCATGGCCTCATGCCTCCCAGGCCCCCAGAGGCACGAGCAGTGGGCCACGGGGCAGAGCTCCCTGCCCACCCCAGTCTCTACCCGGACCCCTCCTGGGCCCCACCTCAGCCCTGGGATATGCCAGTCTGGCCACCCAGTCCTGGGTCCACCTTGAGGCTGTGCTGTTGGGTGCGTGGGAGCGCGGGCCCAGGGAGCACGCTGTGGCGGGTGGGCCTGGCTCTTAGCTGATCCCCTGGTCCCCTCTTCT